CAGACTCTGTGGTATCTTTTATCTCAAGTTCACAAGGATATATCGTGTCGACATAAGAATTGAAATAACCATTGTTAATTGACAATACGTCGTCGATATAACTAAATGTCGAGTTGAAGGCCACAGCAAGTGTTTTCTTCTTTTCACGTAAAAGATTTTGAACAAATTCTGCTTCATATGAATACAAATAAGTCTGCTAATAACGGGGCGCAAATGGTACATGTACCCATGGGAGTTCCAATAGATTGGTGGAAGACCCGGTCTCCAAAAACCACATAGATATTGTCAATCAGAAACTCCGGCATCTTTTAAATGTCAACTAAAGAGTACTTGTGTGTACAATCAGATTGTTTTTTAACAAAATAATTTTGCAAATGACCAATGACAAGGTAAGTATATTTACGAGTTCTATTTTTATCGAAAAAGCAGCTGTCAACGATGTCAGAAAGTCTGGACTTTAATATATCGTGAGGAGTAGTTGTATATAAAGTTGAAAAGTCGTAAGTTTTTATGTTGTTGATTTTGGTAAAATTTTGTGATTTCAAATTTTCCAAAAGTTCCTTGGAATTCGTTAGCATCCACATCTGATTTACACCACTTCTGAAATATATTGTTGCACAGTACTCTTGAAGTTTCTCCTTCACTACTGTTAATATCTTAGTGAGGAGTAAAAAAAAGGCCTGGTAGAACATTTACTGGAACCCGCTATGTATCTTTGTTTGTAAGGATTTTTATGAAATTTCGGAATCCAATATAGATATGGTAATTGAAATTTATTTTGGTTGTTGGGAATATTAAAGGTATTCAACACATAAATATTAATCACAGTCAAAGGCTATAAATTCCTTTTCAACTTTCCTTGTTACTGCAGTAATATTCCACTATCAATACCCAACTGATTCGGTACGCAATATCATATTCTTTGAAACCAAGACAAGTCACAGACAAATAAGTTGATGTTACATGGCTTTCAACTTTCCCGCTTAAAGACAGCATTACGCGAATTTTATGGTTGTTATAATGACTTCGAATAAAACCTATCATAGGGAGACCAATTGTTAGACGTTTGTTTTGTTTTAAAATAGTTTTGACTACAGGATGCTGTGTTTACTTGATCAGTACAGACGGTTTAGAGCGGTTGTAATCGTCCGAAAGAGAATACTTTCTCCTCGTAGGCACCTGATCCCTTCTCTGGTGTTTCAAGGTGCCTGTGTTTTTGTCCCGTTCTCTATTTCAACATTTTTTTTCTTAATGAATGTTTTTTGCGACTTCCTATCTTATTTAACACTCAGTAATTCATCCGTCTGTTGACTTTACCGGTTTAATTATAGACTTTAATTGGACACCCTCACTTATGGATGTCAAAGGTTTGATATATAAGGCCATGAAAACAGTTGTGACAAGCAAATATAGTGTTTATAGTTTTCACCAAAACATTCAAAGCTTTTCATATTTTGGAAGTCATTCAACCTGTTTTATGATTTATAAGCACAATTATTTTCATACTTTATATGATCTGAGAACAGTCTTAACCAAATCTTTTTTTCTTATATAGTTACGATAATAACTATTTGATATCCAGTTCTGTACAAGTATTTTTGCATTCCATTGAATATAAACAATCTTTCTGATTTAAATGAAGTTTGTATGTATGTGTGTATATATATATATATATATATATATGAGAGAGAGAGAGAGAGAGAGAGAGAGAGAGAGAGAGAGAGAGAGAATTTAACATTGTATACATGTAACAGATGCTTACCTCCCGAAATGTAATGCTGTGACATTCACCTATTTCTTACAGCAATACATGTAACTGTATCACCATCATTGATTAGATACTAATTAAGCTTTACACAATTCATCAGTTTGCCAGAGCACATCTTCAACTTTCTTTAGCTCCTAATCTGTAAATGGAATTTTCTTAACTTTTACACTTCAGCTGGGTACATTTTTGTTTCTGTACTTTGACATTTATTGCAGAAAAATAAGTAAAAAGGAATAAAAAGCAACTGAGACATATAGATAGAATTGTTTTGGTAAATATGCCTCGTCAATGTCTGATGTGTTGTCATTCATTGTATATGGTTTATCGTGATTCAATTTTTTTCAATGCTTTAGACATTGAAAGAGTTATCCTCCTTACAACAACTTAAATGTTACCTTTTTTTCAGAATGTACTTTGTTGAAAGAGTAACAATGCATCCAAGTTTTATGAACCACAGGCCCGAAGGAACGGGGGGAACGGGGAGGCGTGCCCCCAATCAATTTTGCCAGTTGTGACATTACTTTTAAACCAACCCTAGTACTTTACAATAGAAAACAAAGCAAATATATGGCTGTGCCTCTTCAAATATTTCACTATAGATGGAACACGTAGCTGATTTAGCGTTTTTTCTCTATCTTGTCAAGAAGTTCTTGCTTGAACCATTTGTTAAAAGTCACGTCGTGTTTGAGCTCAGTGCATGAATTTTGCTATACATCGTTATATATATATATATATATATATATATATATATATATATATATATATATATATATATATATATATATATATATATATATATATATATATATATATATATATATATATATATATATATATATATATATATATATATATATTTTATATATTATATATATAATTTATTCTATCGACATTGAAATAAAGTATATAAAGTGTAGTAATCAAGCAAATACAAAATATTACCAAGCTTTTTTTTATTATTTTCCTTGCGTATATGAAAAGAGTTTACTTGAAAAAAGAGGTAAGAAAAATGTGTATTTGATACGATTAACTGGTTAATCAGCCGCAACGTCTTGCGGTTAACCGATTAGCAATTTTGTATTCGATTGCCATACATATATATATATATATATATATATATATATATATATATATATATATATATATATATATATATATATATATATATATATATATATATATATATATATATATATATATATCACAATCGAATACAAAATTTTCATCAAAACATTAGTAGTTGAATAATTTTTTTATTAAGCAAAAGATAAAAGCTTGAGGAAAACAAAAAGTACATTATTATTTACGTGAAAGTATAACATCTGATATTAAAAAAACGTCAATACAAACTGATGTTCATTTCTGTAGTAATCCCTTTTAACTATGGCAAATAAAAATAATGTTATAGGAAATTTATTACATTGATAGTAAAATAAGTAAATAATAATAAAAGATATCTTATTTCTCTCATAGGCTAATTAAGACAATAACCGGCACTGATGAAAAAAGCACATTCAACACTAGCAGTACTTCCACATTACTAACTACATCACTATGACTATACATTCTCAAAAAGTCTCTACGTGTACGTTTTTCTCTTCATTCTTTGATGTTTAAGTCGTGTAATAATAATGCAAATTGTAATTAATATAATTTAAGCAAAAAATTGACTCAACAAGAATGGAAAAAGGTGAAGATAACGAACAGTGATCGAACTTTATTTGAGCAATATTGATAAAAATGTATTAAGTGTTTCACGTGATCAAACTTGTGTCATCTCACCTTACCGGACAAAACTTGACCTTGGTGATGATAAAATAACTCCTATCCTCAATATTATTGTCCACCCTCTTATCCACAATATAACCCTTTGTTCTGTTAACAAGACTCACATGTTTAACTTAAAAGTTGATAACCAATTGCTTTGAAATAATTAATTATTTGTAATAATTTAGTTGTAGTGCTAGTTGTATTTGTTTCTCTATCTCCCTTGTTTTAATGACTTTTCAACTGTTTCTTTGTTCTCATGAAGGTACAGGGCGTCCTTAAAAATTGACAATTTCTTTTGTTCGTGTCATTGGTCATTTTTAATGCTTTGTATATAATTCCATTCGTGACCTTGTATCTATTTATTTAGTAGATCCAATACATTAGGATATTTTCTGATGCTTTATAAATATACATCCTGTTAATCATTTTGAATAAAAGAAATAACGTTATATCTTGTTCAAGGTAAATTTCCACTTCATTAGGGCAGACTTTAGTGGAGTCTTTGCACATGTTTCATTTTTTTCATTTCCTAACCCATTCGAACTACTCACAGTTTTTGTACAATTATTAAGACCTTTGTGGGACTTATTAGATTATTAAAAAATATCATTTATATCTTACTCAACTAGATGATATAATAATGGTCGATTATTCAGATTATCGCAAATGTTTAAATGTAATGAAACTGAAATTTTAAATGCTTTTAAACACTGAAACATTCTTAACTTTACAATCATCATTACATTAAGGCTATGGGAAATTTTTTTCATGATAAAAATAAATTTTAACCAAATGAATTTCTAAAACGAAAAAATCATTATAAAGTATTATCTTTTTTGTCTTTATAAGTCCCAACATGCAAGGCCTTAAAATTCGAATGACAACCATGCCTCTTAATTTGTGTATCATTCATCAATAAAGAGACTCATGTGCACGCGCTGTTTAATGTCTCACAGTCAGAGTTAAAGGTCAGCAGGGTCAATCCTACTGTACTGATCCACCGCGGTCATGATTTCTCCTGGACAAAAATCTCTAAGAGCATATTCTAAAATGAAAGGTTATAAACATCTAAATAAGCAAGTTAGTTAATTTCTCTTTTTAAACTTTTTTTTTTATCTCACCACAAGTAATTTGAAAACATTGCGAACAAGTATGATAAAATCAAGATGACTTTCACCGTATATGTATGACACACAGGTGTCATGACGTGGTTCCGAACGTGCAGAACGGTAAAAAACTTTGATGTCAGAAGTGATCAATATTAAAAATTAATAATATATACAGGTAATATTCAAGGATTAGCTCACAGTTCTTAAATTACCTGCCCGAGTTAATCATACAAAATGATAAATTTATTACTGTAAAAACAAGAGGGCTGATGGGAGGTACAAGCATAATTTATTTTACAACCTTTGGTTGACATATTTAAAAAGGGCGCTGACTATATAAACCTGGCTCACACAGCGACGACAAGACAGTTAAACAGGATCAATGCTATCATAGTGACGTGCTTTATAAAATTAACAAACGAAGGACATTGTTTTTTACACTGAAACATAGGTATTATTCGTGCAATAAGGATTTATTTTTCAGACGAAGTGTTTACATCGTAATATCGTGTGCAAATATATCTAGTAAATAAAAGATGTCCATATCAGTACATTACTGACATAGAGCGATATCTACAGCAAACAACGGAATACTTTGGAGAATTTGACACATTCTTAACATTGTACTGCAGATGTATAAATCTGGGATGTGTAACATCGAATTCATCATTGGGATTGTGGATGTGTACAGGGGAATATCTAATGATTAAGATGCATGACAGAACAATGTCTTGCTTTGGAGGAGCTTGTGAGGACAAGTTTAACTGTTACCAGTCCGTGGAGGAGGCCAAGAGAGCCAAACAGAGGAACAAGCAAATCAGCAAACTCCTGAAGCAACACCAAAAGGAGGAACTCAAACGACTAAAGATTCTCCTCCTAGGTAAAACAATTACCAGTAGAATCAGAGAGAGTTCAAAATATATAACGATATAGGAATTGCTAATTATCAACGTTATTTAGGATATTACAGCATTATTATATTAAATAATAACTATCAAAAATTTATGATTGTCATTTTATCTCTATAATAATTTTGTGGATTTGCGGTTTATGTGCCGACATCAAATCTCAAGGACATTTATTAGCACGGTAAATACAGTGTCATTGATGTAGGTGAAATAGAGAGTAGATTTAAGAATCAGACACATATTTATTTAGACCTTCTCTGTATCACCCATCATTACTATATTTACAGGTACTGGAGAATCTGGAAAAACTACAATAACAAAACAGATGAGGATCATTCACATCGATGGATTTGATATGAGGTAAATGATCCATAGTTTAAAGGCCAGCGCAAATAACATAAAACAAAGCTATCTTTACAATATCTGTATAATTGCGTAATTTATCTAGACATGAAAAATTGAGAAGGATTCCTTTTTTTGATTTTTTATCAAGGTCTCTTTTCCTACACGAACTGTTCATTTTATGTTTTCATGATTAAACAATTTTTATTTTATAGAGAACGAGTTGAGAAGATTTGTGATATCAGAAAAAATATCAAAGAGTCGATCGTGGTATTGCTCTCCGCCATGTACCAACTAGAAATTCCTCTGGAAAATAAAGAAAGTGAGACAAGCCGAGAGTTCATTTTAAAAGAGGCAGGCAATCCAGAGATTCACAGAACAAATGTAAGTTATCAACATTTATATCGTTAAAATATATGACACACACACAAAAGAAAAACTAAGACAAGGAAAAATTGAGATGTGACATGACTGTTTCATCATTTACAGGAATTTCTTGACCACTCTGAAAAACTTTGGGAGGATCCCGGGGTAAAGAAATGCTACGAAAGATCACATGAGTTTCATCTGATTGATTGTGCTAAGTAGTAAGTATAATGAACATCATATTACTAATTTAAGTGGATCTAATCCTAACTGTAGTGTGCATCACAAAACAAACCCTTAAGTATTACCTTGAGTAATTAAAAATTTGTTATGTTTTATTTCTAGTTTTCTGGATAAGCTACATGAAATTAAAAGTCCCGCCTATGTCCCCTCCGACCAGGATATCCTCAGGTGCAGAAGTGTAACCACATCAATACAAAACATCGAGTTCGAAGTTCCAGATGGAGGTCACCAAGTGAAATTCAATGTTTACGATGTCGGTGGACAGCAAGGAGAACGCAAAAAATGGATCCAAGTGTTTGATAGTGTGACCGCCATTCTATTTGTTGTGGACTGTAGCAGTTTTGATCAAACACTTCGTGAGGATCCAAGTAAAAATAGACTTTTAGAAGCTTTGGAGAACTTTGACCAAGTTTGGAACAATAGATTTCTTCGATACGTGTCTGTGCTTCTTTTCATTAACAAAATTGATGTTTTGGCTGAAAAAATTGCTCGTGGACGCGACATTGGAGAACTTTCAAAATTGCACCCTGATATTTTTCCTGACTTTGACCTGTTTACTCCATCAGAATCAGAGAAAAATCAGTTCTTGGAAGCGTTTCCTAGTTTTGATAATGACCACCGTAAAAAGTTCAGGACAACACGATCTGATGTCCATCCACACACTGTTAAAACAGCTGTTTACATCAAGCATCTATTTATGGTAAGTTTCCTTCCTTTGATTGATACTGATGTCAGAAAGTTTTTATGCATCCAATAATGAGAATTAAGAGTTGTAATAATTATGTTTAGCTGCCTATCTTGACAACGTACTTATTTAAATATGACATTTTACATTATCAACATTATTTTTTTTTCTTGCAGAGAATTGTAAGAGGGGAACTTAATCTTAAAAAGAGAATTACCCCACATAACAAAGACTGGCATGACGAACATAGCTGTGAATACTACTACACATGCGCAATAGATACAAATAACGTCCAACGAGTCCTGAATGGTTGCCGAACCCTCATTATCCAAAACCATCTAAGACGATTCGGAATCATCTGATGATTGTATCATCATGAGATAGGCATGCGGTTTTGCATATCTATACACTTCTGATATTTTGACATTTCGCACGGCGATAGACATTGCAATGCCATTCTGTAATATACAATATGCCCCAAAGGACATACATATGTATTGGTGTACTAGATATAAGCGTGCAGTATAACACTCTGTTCATATGTTTCATCTCAATTGTATTGAGATAAAGTGTGTGTGGTATAAACACGTTTGTGTGCTGTGACTTACTTTTGAAAAAAGTAATACGTCTTATTTATTCTTGTTGATTTTTATTTTTATGGACATTCCTTATATTTGCATGAATAAAGTAACAATAAACCTCACAATGCATGTTCGTTGAAATGAATTGATACAAATCTTAGATATTTTTTTATTGTTTCTTGATTGACCTATGTTCTAAATTGCAAATTAGAAACTTTGCTATTGCAAACAATAGCATGTATCACCCAGAACTGATACCCAAAAGTGCAATCTCGGAGTGGAGCAGAGTAAGCAACTACTATTTGAAAATTTAAATTCTCAGAACTTTTCCCATTTTGATGACTTCAAATTTTAAGTCGTCAAATTCCCTTACTTAGTAGTAATATATCGTTATCACCTGCGTATGGGGCTTATGTCTTTCAGTTGAATCGATACGCAAGACCATGCTTTACGTACGAACAATTTCTAAAACGAGGCAAGCTATTGACAAATAAGTTCATGAAAGAAGAATATGAACAGTCTCGTTTAAAGACATCATTTCGGAAATTCTATGGTCGATAAAATGACCTTGTCAGCAAATATAATCTGTCATTAAGGTTAATTCTGACTAACGTTTTTCATACTAATTGTTAGGCCATTATTTACACAATGAATTGTCTACGGATTTTTCCATCTATTCCCGATCATGACAGAGCACACGGCGGGTGTGACGGGTTGGCAGCTGATCCCACCTCTGATGTTTTAGAGGTCCGTGTTTGCTCTGCTCCTATTTGTATTGTTTGAATGGACTTTTGAGCTTGAATACTCTTCGTTATCTCGATATTTCATTTCTATGGAAACAGCAGTTATTTTAGAAATTTAAAACCCAAGAATTTTGTGAGAGAAACCTACGCATCAATATTATTATCAAGTCTGAAATTGACTTTTAAAGAGGAAAAAATGAAATATATAGAAAATTCTTTCTCTCTACCCCCTCCCCCCAGTTTTTAAGCGAAAACGTATCCAACCGATTTTAATTTTTTGAAGATGTCAGTTTGAACTGATGCAAAGAATAATTCTTCTATGTTTCAAAGGAATTGGTTACTGAGAAAAATGAGCATGACATTTTTCATATTTCGTGTTCTCGTGGCAAGGGTGGCAATTCAGAAAATTTTGAATGTTGCATGTTAATTGTTACTTGATGGGCTATTATTTTCACGTTAAATTGTACACGTTTTTTTTCGTTTACCTGATCATAACAAGGGACACACGGAGGGTGTAACCGGTCGACAAGGGAAGCTTTTTTCTCCATGGCATCTGATCCCACCTATGTTTTCAGAGGTTCGCTCTGATCACAATTTGTATTATTTAAATAGACTTTTGAGCATGATGACTGTTAATTGTCTACACATTTCATGCACGACTAGAATATTAAGGCAGGACCGTTTTATGCATGAGATCAACTAAACCTAATCTTTTGAGGAGGTAATGAACTTTAAGGCTAGGAAGAAATAACTTGGATTTTCAGGAGCAACCAATAAAAGATAGATGCAGATTTTTTTTTTCATTCTGTGTCTTGTAAATCAGGATAGGCACACTCTAACATACTGTGACAAGTAAGGGGGTAATTCCATCCTGCAAACTATAACACACTAACAGAAGAGTTAACTCCATCTTATAAACTGAAATATATTGTTACAAAAGAGGAGTTAACGCCATCCTGTAAACTGTTTCATACCGTAACAAAACAGGAGGTAACTCCAGCGTTTGAAGTTTGAGAATCTTATTCAATTTCACAGATGTCCATGTAAAAATGAAGAAAAGCATTCAACCAATTTTAAGCATTTAACCATGTAAATCTGTAATGTCTGTAGATGTAATTAATTCAAAGTGCTTTTAAAGATATAGTTTGTAGATTACATTAGAAAGTTCAGTTACAATTCATTTCAATTATAAATTAATATGCATAAAGTCTGTATTCGCAGCAGGAGTTAACAACTCTCAACTTCTTGGCAACTCAAGGATTGTCTTCTCTGCAAATATAAGTGTTCCCAAACCTTGGGTAACTGTGGTGAAAATCTTCAAATAAATCACAAGTACAGTCATTAAGTGCAAAATTTAAATGTGACAGAAGCGCAATAAAATTGTACAGGTTGTCACACTTCAATTATACTTTCATTCCATTTCTTTTCTTGAATAAATATATATATTTTGATACAGTTGTATGCGCATATAAAAAAAATGCTTTGAAAAAATTAAGTTCTAAAGAAAAAATTAGTAGTGTAAAAAATCGTAAATAGACAAAATGAATAATGAAGATTTTCTGAAGGGAAAGTAAAATTCTGACTCTTCGACTTATAACAAAACATGTATCATATATGTACTCAAGATGAGATGTACGATTCCTATAAAACAAGATAAAAGTTCATATTCTCATCAACTTCAACTGTCGAGGAATAATATAGAAGTTAGATTATGCTTTTTTAAGTCGGTTTGTCTATTTCTGTGTGTGTGAATAAAACCCCCGAAAGTTAATATGTACATATGGGTAAAGGTTTTCAGATTAGAAAGTTTTCGTTATTGAGAATATGAATTGATACTTTTCTTTTAGTATGTCTATAAATGTGACATACAGCTTTAAAGAGACTTAAATAAAAAAAAATTATGTCGTGATCATTTTATCAGATAAATTCTTCTTTGTTCTGTTTGGTTGTTTTTCTTTTATATGTGAGAAGTAAAGGTTGACAGAAATTGATTACATACTCCGTTTGCAATACAAAGAAAGATATCTTAATGCCTATATATTTTTATCTCCCTTAAATTATTCGTAATGTGGGTGAAAGTATGTAAAATACTGTATTATTGATCCGTATGTTGCATCGATGGAAGAGCCATGAAACTGTAAACCTTTCTCACTTCTTTCTTAGATAGCTTTAAAAATGCATCTAACCAGCTTACAAGAAAATTGTTGCTATTGCTTCAAATAAACAGCAATATTGTGTTCATTACAAATAAAAGGGAAATTTTCAGTGGACGTAAACATTGTATATTACCAGCACATGTAGTTATTTCTCGATCATGACAAGGAGCAAACGGCGGGTGTGACCGGTCGACAGGGGATGCTCACTCCTCCATGGCACCTGATCCCACCTCTGATGTCTTAGAGGTCCGTGTGGCTCTGCTGCTATTTAGTAATGTTTAATGGACTTTTGAGCTTGAATACTGTTCGTTATCTCCACATATTTCATGTAAGAATTGTAAATTGCTTAAAAGGTAGGACATGCTTTAACATTTCTTTAAAGGTCTCGTCCTATTCCTTATTGTCTTTTGTTAAGCTCAACATGTAAGCACTCAATACCTTCAGGTAAATATCAAAATTTCCTTTTTTCATATAATATATTGTTGTACAAATTTAAGATATCAAGGGATGCATGGCAAGAAGGTTGCAAAAGCAAATTCTAATTGAAATAGACATTGGAGAACTTGAGTCAATATGTTCTTCTTTGATTCATATGTAATGTCAGAACCAGATGTTATTTCGTATCTTTTGTGTTGCTGGCAAAATTCAAATGAGCTTAATCAGTTCAAAAGAAGCATCATTACATTCCAAACACTCAATTACATTATTGAATTAAAGAAATCAATAGACGAAGAGTCCTTCAACAATAATGGATTCCTTGTTCCAAATTCTTTAGCGTGACACAATAGGTGTAAAAAAGCCATGTTGCTGACAATGTACATCCTATCTGATTAATGTCAGTTAAAAATCAGATACTGACCCCTTTGTACCGAGAGCTGGAACCTGCACCAAGCACTAGGCGATTCTTGTTTTTGACATGTATGCTGTTTATGTATGTACTTATTCAACATTTTTGACACATTGAAATGTATTGAAAAGAAATATGCAACGAATAAAATCAGATGGTAAATGAAAAAAAAAATTAATCTGGTTGTTTAAATTTCTTTAATCAAGTAAAAAAAATAGAGTAACCTGAACATAAAATGAAGCATAAATGAATGAAAAAGGGCTCTAGTATGAAAACAGTAAGTTTGAATACCTTAAATCTTTTCGAAAACGTTGATAATCTACCCAGGTTTTAAATAGAATTTCTTGTATTACTTCCATATTTTATTTGTAATATGACACAATCAATACGATAGAAAATTAAAAGAAAAGTTTGCCTTTAATTAGACCTCGAGACTATTTTGAGGGTTTGATATAATTTAATTTCTGATAATGACGGTCATTAATTTACCGCACACCACTTGCCAGAACTTTTGAAATGCCCCTCGTACATTCTTCTCAGGTGTATGTAAAATATTTTTGCAGAAGATTTTTTACTGCATAATATTATAATGGATACCTACATTGACGATCATTAAGATACCATATAATTCGCAGTAATAACAGAACCCCCACTGAGGATTTGTACTTTTCATTATACTCTATTGAAAATAAAACGATATAACATATTTTTATGGATAATTTTAGACACATAGCTATATAAACACAAGAAGGAATGGTACACGTAAAAAATATCATTTCATCAAAAGTGCAAGCCACCAAAAATATTATACGTATAGTAAATTAAACTATAATTATTAATCCGTCTAGGTGAGGTAAAATTATATAAATATCAAAGGGAGACGTATATTTTCCAATTCTTTTGTCATTCATACTGAAGTTAATTCAAAATAAATACCTCATGTCAAATTCTCTCTGGTTTAAAGTATAAGTACGTTATGTTTTTTGAAATGTTAACTTCAAAGTTGTTAACTTTAAAGGTCAAAAATGTTTTCATAGAACTCTTAAATTTACTCACATTTTCATTGATCATTTGAAAAATTATTTTGTGAGAAGAAAAATTTCTGATTGTACACACAAGTACTCTAAAGTAAATATTAAAATGATACATGTTGAATGATGTTTGAGTTTCTGACTGAAAATGTATGTAGTTTTCGGAGATCAAGTCTTCCAGCAATCTGTCAGAATTCCTTCGGATATTACCTGCGCCCCATTATTCGCAGACTTATCTTTGTATTCAAATGGTCTTCAATTCAACATTAAGATATATACAATATTCATTTTCATTTCTACGTTGATTCGATATAAACATTTGAAC